ATCTGTGTGTGTGTGTGTGTGTGTGTGTGTGTGTGTGTGTGTGTGTGTGTGTGTGTGTGTGTGTGTGTGTATATTTGTGTAAAAGGAAATCAATGAAATTTCTTACATTATTATCAAACTCTAACAGTTGTAGAATTAACAGAACTCACGATTTCTACCATCAGCTGTTTATAGCTCGGAGCATATAATTAATAAGAAAGAATTAATCATCATCGCGGAAAAGAGAGACACTAACATTGAGAAAAGTGTCGATTTACTGTGCTTTTTTTTCAAGATGGATGTGTTAAATGAAACGTGGCCTCAAAACGCACAGTTTCTCCTGAAACAGATTTATACTTGCTGTCACTTGCTGAATGAAAATTGGTAATATGTGTAACACAGTTTTTTCAAGGCAGGCTTGCTGCCTTGAAATTTATATCAGAATTTATAACAAAAACGGGGACATTAAATCAACAAAAGAGTGAAAAATGATCAAATTTATTCAAGACGCTAAGGGCGATTATATAGACAACAATCGAATATAATATAAAAAATATTTAAATTCATTTCTAATAAAATTATTTAAACAGGATTGTTCTTCTTCCTCAGGATTGTAATACTTTTTTAATCCTCGTATTTTAGTTTCATTGCGTAATAATGTTGTAATAATTTTCTAATCCTCGTATTTCAGTTTCAGTTTATGTTGTCCCGACAGAGAACAATTGTTATTTTTCACAACGTGGCGAAATAAAATAAATATTTGTTCAAACCAATATTACACAAAATTACATTACATCAGCCTGTCTCGCTTTGGAGCGTTTAAACGGTTTTTGTAAATGTTGAAATAAACGACTTCTTGTAGTCGATTATCTTTAATGATCTACGAGATCGCCCAAGAATCGAAGTTACTCCGTTGAAGTTAATTGATGTGTCTAACCGAGTGTTTCCCATTCTTTTACAGCACTTAATGTCCGGATGGCTGTTGGATTACAGCTATAAATGTCAACCGGTCGACTACTCCCACAATCCGTCCGCTTTGAGGATGGCAAACCTCTGTTGGTGGTACTTCATCAGCAAATTCACGGAATTCGCTGACACGGTACGGTTCACTTTCATAAATTCACGTTCCAGCCTAAAGACGATAGTCGCATACAAAACTCGCGAATCGATCACTTTTAAGAATACATTTAAATTTTAATTAATTTAAATTCATAGTTTAAAACGTTCATCTTTAATTCAATGACGTATTAAATATCAAAAAATTACATAAAAAATGCATCTTATTAATCAAATCCATGTCTAAATGTGCAGAAATGAATGGAACGTAAGTCGGACTGGAAATGTTTTTCGATTCTTTCCGAAACTTACACTATCGGGATGCTTTGTCTCTTTGAAATGCATACGCTATTAAAATTTATTCGATAAAAAACACAGAATTTTTCCCGCTCGTTGTAAAAAATTCCAAAACTATTCTCTGCGCTAATTGGGATTTTTCGTCTTCCGCGATATAAAAAACGAGATTTATTTATAAATGACATTCCGTTCCATTTTTGGAATTCCCCCGAAGGGAATGTCATATATCATGTTATCTCTATGGAAAGAGAAGAATGCACCGAAACCAGTTTCAGCCTTGCGAAATATAAAAATCTATTAAGCCAAATTTAGTTAAAATAAAATGAACAAAAATGTTTCGAATTATTATTGACTTGCGCTTTCGCGATTCTTAAGCCGCGCATAGTCACTTTTCCCTCGGAAACTACGTGCACTCAACCAAGAAAAATGTATCACATATCTCTCATTTGTCGTGCCACGATCTAGTGAATGCGCTCTGTATTTTCATTAAACGCACGTACGTAAGTGCGCATGGTAAACAGATCAAAAGGTAAAAAGAGAAAAAAACAGGACAACAGAAAGAAAGAAGGAGAGAGAGAGAGAGAGAGAGAGAGAGAGAGATGGAGAGAAAGCGCTTAAGCAGACTTTCGACAGCGCGTGTGCGAAATTCAGCCGAACGTAGGAATCATCGCGAAACGGACTTTTTCATTATTCGTTGCTCAATTTCGGCGTATGTTGCCGCTATCGCTTCTATCGTACTTGGATGACGAAAATCATCGCGCTTCGTTAATGAGCATAGATATTTTCGAGGAGATACAGCTCGCGAGCTTCGCATCGCCGGCAATTAACGCGACAGTAAAATATCACCTGCTCCTGCCGCGTATCGCTTTCAAATTAAACGCTCAATAGAGCGTATCCATTGTTTCTTCTTATCTTAAAGCTTATTACGAGAGAATATTTAATAAATTGGAGCAAGTAAATAAATTACATAGAATTAGATAAAAGCGACAAACAAATTTTGAATAGGTTGAATCGTTAATAAACAATTTATTCCGAATGACACGGAAACTATTTTTTTCTAATAAAGAGCGCTTCTGCATTCAATGCCTAGTTCTACAACTCACTTTGCATAATTAGCATTATTTTCGTCTATTTTATTTGATATAGGTCACGGTAGGTGAAGCGGATGCCCTTCTATGTAAATCATCAGGTCAACGAAATCTAAATCCAAGCTAGGTAACAGGAAATTGCAAGCGCTCACGAAATGTCGTAACGGCGTTACTCATCGAAATTTCAGATATTCTTCGTGTTACGCAAGAAGGACAGTCAGGTGACATTCCTGCATTTGTATCATCATTCTTTAACACCCCTCGAGACGTGGATCTGCGTGAAATTTATCGCGGGCGGCCACGGCACTCTGGGCAATCTTATAAACAACGCGGTGCACGTGGTCATGTATGCGTATTACATGTTAGCGGCCATGGGCCCGGAATATCAGAAGTACTTATGGTGGAAGAAGCATCTAACTACCGTGCAACTGGTGAGTAGACTTTCGGCGGTCGACTTTCTTCTTACCGCAACAAAAGAAGAAGAATTAAAGATCAAATGAACGATAATATACGCAACATTTGTATAACACTCAGATAAGGGGAATATGAGCAAATCTCTTTTTATATATAATTATACAATTTTAAGCATGATTTAACATAGAAATTCACGAAATTAAAAGCCTGCCCAGGCTCACATCACTCAAGATGAATTATACGCTCGATGTAAAGGAATCTAAGAAAAAAAAAAAAAAAAAATACACTGTCTTCCGGGAAAGCAAAATTTTTAATGATCCTCCCGGTTACGCGGTGTATAATTTACGGCTCGGCCCGATGTCGATTCGTACAACACTCCGGTTTTCGTACACGAGAATACCGGGCGAGTGTACCGCAAAAGTGCAACACGTGATCCAATGTTCCGAATCGCGAGCGCGCGGCAGCCGGCGCGAGCGATTTTTTTTCCGTGAACGGATCAAAATCGAGCCGCGATACGGCTTCTTCTTGCACAACGCGTCGGGTTTCGCGCCGAGCCGATAATAACGCCCGCGTCGTTGAAAGTAAATGGATACTAGGCACTACTGACCCAGTGAGTGTGCTCGAAAGATTTAAAGGGATGCATATCGGTAATACGTGAAATATGTTAATTGTCCGCCGAGGCGCGTAGTGCGTGTTTGCTTTTCTCCTACGAATCCACTTTACGATGCAGCGTACACATCTTCGTTTTTTAGCAATAACAACGCTCTCAGGCCCTCTCGGGATGAAAATCGAGCATTGATTATCACTTACGATGATGCAAATAGTCTTATATGGTATGGTATTTAAAGAAAAAGAGAGAAGAAAAATTTCGATAATTAAAAAGATCTTCGTTTTGAAGACCGCGGTATAATATTTTGTTGCGGATTTTTCTTCTCTGTGTGCCACTTTGTAGATTGCAGTTTCGAATCTGAAACAGGTCTCGCCGCAGGTTGCTGCGATGACTTTAAATCAATCGTACGTTTTAAATTAATGGGAAAATCTGCAATGATTACTGCCTCGAACTTCGTAACCCACAAAGTGGCATACATGAAACTTGTAACGAAACACGTTGCGTGGGCTTGAAACAAATTGCGCGAGAGTAATATATGTTTCATATTTCTAGCCTTTAAATGTTGTTTATTCTCACGTATAAAAAGTATTATATCCTGATTATAGCGCATGAAGAGGAATGAACCGACTGAAATCACTTTATTATATTCTGTATTCTATTAAAATAAAGAAAAAAATTTTACGCTGTATTGATTATATCGATTAAGATGTTAAGGAAATATTTTCTGAAATATTCTTTAAGAAATGAATTATATAGAAGATTTTTTTTAACATTCAAATTTATATATTAAATGTTAAATTTCTAGATATATAAACTTATTTTTTTCAAATATAACATGATTAATGTAACATAATTTTATTATCCAATTAATATAACTTCTCTATTATTAGTCGAAATTGAAATGAATTGAAATGAAATATTTCACGTCATATTACAAGATACAAGTCCGAGAACTGCATAGGGTGAGATCACAAATTCTGAATAGCTATAAAAATTTATGCTTTTATTCAGACAATTGTCAAACAAAAACTATTTAACACAAAATATTTAACAATTATAACTAATTATAAAAAATATTTTATTCAATTAATTACAGTTTTATATTATTTTATTTCAATTAAATAAAAGGATATGAATAATTTAAAACTAAACGATTGACCTTTCTAAATTTTGTCATACATCTTTTTCACTTAAATAAAAATGTTTATAGTAAAGATTAAAATTTTCCTATGTTTATAAAAAAAATATATATCTTGACATTATTCACGTATTATTATTCATTATGACAATAAAATGTAGAGCAAACAACAAGTTGACAATTACTTAAATTTTAAACGAATGCTAAAAATTCTCATGATATGTTTCCATTTTTCCGATGAAAAATGTAAGATTTATTTAAACAAATTTATTTAAACAATGATCCAGAATTGGTATTGAACGTATCACACATTCAGTGCTCTTACTGAATTAACCAAAGACCTTCGAATTGAACCTGCGATAATAGCGGAAAATATCTCGCAATCCTCGCGCCGCAAGATACCGATCATAAGATTGGCAAGGCTCATTCTCGTCATCGATGAAACGCGGAATACCAGATCTCCGATCTGGATATCCGCCTAAAATCGACTTCCTTGGAAAATTACTGGAAAAAGGGCACGCTCGGAAAAAATTGTCGGCCCGACGGTCGGCCCGGATACGTTGCGCGAGTGAACTCGCGATCGTTCGCGGATTCTGGGCCATCGGCCATTGGTGTTTGTTAGATCGGTCAATCCCGGTCTCTACCTAGGCAAAATTTCATGCCATGCGCACGGGTAGGGGTGAGGGAAAGTGAAAAGTACAACGCGCGTTGGGCAACTCGACTCGACTAGACCTCGCTTTAGCCGGCCGCCGAACTCGGCCAACCACGTTGGCAGTGGCGCAACAATTTGGCATTCCGATATGCCATACGGCACTTGTGTACCACCACCATCGCTATCATCGCGACCACCATCACCACCACCGATACCATCATCATCATCATCATCATCACCGCCGCCGCCGCCGCCACTGCCGCTGCCGCTGCCGCTGCCGCTGCCGCTGCCGCCGTTGTCGTTCTCGTCGTCATCGTCGTCGCTGCAACCGGCGTCACGAGCCACTACGAACCGGCCACATACCTACGAAGCCTTACCTATATGCTTCAACCTATCCCAGTTTATCTCGCAAGACCATCGTTTCGCTACACGCTGGCGCATACGTCCGGCCGACGTACAAGTGTACCCGCGACTCGCTTTTGTACGCTTGTGACGCATTCCCTCGAGGGGTCCCCCCTCGCAAGACGAGAACGAGAGGATAGATAGGGATACAAGCGACAGCTTGGAAAAAAAGTTTTGTCGATGACGAAATCGCCTTGAATCGAACGAGAGACTTTGTAGATACGCGGCGGTTTAATCTTTCAACGTATCGCGGTTGCTACATCGACCATACGCGCAAGGATCTTAACAGAAATGCGTGATTGTTTAAATGGATCGTAAACTTATAGTTTTCATTCAATTTAATATAGTTTTACAAAATCAAATCAAAGATTTAAAAAAGAAACGATAGACTCAAATGAATACATTGGTTCGATCACTTTTCTATGAAATTTGCTTAGAACTCTTAAGTTAGTTAAAATCAATTTATCCCGCGAAGGAGAAATTCGATCGGACATACATTAACAAAAAAATATTTCTACAGCTTCGAAAATCAAGGTACAAGAGATGTTTGGTATTTAAGTGAAAATAAAATAATTCTACTAAATTACTCACTTCACGTGTGGAAATTCCATGTATTCGTTGCAATGCATAAACCGCGCGGTAAATTAACACGACATATACAAATTGTAGAAAATAAGTGAAAATGATATAAATGTTTCAATTCAATCGAGCGATTTCATGGATATTGATTTAACGAAACATGAAATTATTGCAACAAAAAAATAAAATAATAATTCTCCTCCGTTTCTTTCAATAATAAGATGTCTGACATTTAAGAGTAAGGTAAATGACTGTGACAAATTGTTTACAATTTGAAAGATTCTAATTTTAAATCATAATAAACTCGCTAACCGCAAAAGAGATAAAAATAGCTACATCGGCTCGCTCGTAAATTTGACGACGCGTTATCGAAAATTTAATTGAACAATTCTTACTTAATAATATCTGCAAGACATTTGGAATAATCTCTCGCGTGCTTAGTCGCCAAGTCGTTCGTTCACCCAATCCCGTTTTATGCGGCTCGAGTAAAAACAGGATTGGGGTAGGTAGGAGTAGAATACGATGCTGAAAGAATCAATAACAAAGTAACGTGAGTTTTTATCGACGAATTCACGGTGAATTTAACTGTCCGCGCGCCGGAAACTCGGCCATCGTACCTTCTATGAGTCGGCCAACGGCTGGCATTTACGCGTGACGACTCATCCCCCATCGAATAGAAATTACTTTTCTTCCACACGTCGTGCCGATCCTTAAAAGTAATTTAAACGAGGAAAATATCGGTTGTAACGTTGTACAGAAATTGTGCAGAGGACAGGCTCACACGCTACCAATATTGTCTTATTTCACGGACTGGCTTCTCGGTCGGTGTACATTAAGAGAGAAACGATAGGCGCTGGGATATTAGATATATGGACAGTTATTGCTACATACTGCATTGCGTACTTTCTTCGAATCGCTTAATGAATTCGGTTGCAATACGGAGTTGTTCGAGTCAACTGAATAATACGCAATGCACGAGTGTGCACGAATCGAGATAATGCGCGCGGCGCAAAATACAGGTCGGCCGTTATGATATTTTACGATTAAAAAAGAGAAATAATACGGAGTTGAGTTGGCTCATTTCGGAGCCGTTATTGATGGACTTTGTCGATTGTCGAGTCCTGAGTGTACATGTTTGAGTCCTGAATTTTTGTACTCTCTTGTAGATCTAACATTTTTAACTGTCGACTTAACTGTTCACTTTACTCACCCAGACTGCTCATAGATAAATAGTCGTCCAATAGTCGTGCTGTTAAATGCTGCTGAATTGTCGAATCGATTTTCAGGTGCAGTTCTTCGTGGTGTTCGTGCATAGCGCGCAGGCCCTCATCTTCGATTGCGGCTATCCGAAACTGGTGGCGGCTCTTCTTCTACTTCACTCGACGATCTTCTTCGTGCTCTTCTCCGACTTCTACAGGTCCGCTTACCGCAGAGGAAAGTCCGCGAAGGAACTCAAGGCTGAATAGGGCACACGAGGGACATATGAAAGGGAAAATCTTCGTTCTGAACGAGAACGAACGAAACATGTTAAGACACACACACACACACACACACACAACACACACACAAACACACACACACACACACACACATTCCACGTACGAAATGTAGCCTTCCCTTTTGCACTGGTGATGATCGACTTCGAAAATTCTTACGCCCGTTAATGTATCGACAGACGAATGAGAAATTCATTGAAAAGTAATATAATCAACAGAGGTGCAAATACAAAATACAAGATAGTAAATACATAAAAGAATACACTTTGGAAATATCGAAATTTCTAATATATACTGAAAATGATGAAATTATTAAAAGAATCGCATAAAAGGAGAAATGCGACACGGCGAAAATAATGTGCGATGTATAATTTATTATTCTTATAAATAATTTATAAATAATTAGATATAAAAAATTTATAACAATTATATATAAAGCCAAAAAAAAAATTGAGGAAAAGTGATAAATAAAAGTTCAGTTCGATCAATAGGTTAATATCAACTCTTATCCGTTTGGTAAGACGATACAATGAAAATTGTATAAAAATTATCTATTAGAAATCCCTTTACGTCAGGCAGCAATCAAATGCAATTGTTTGATCGATTTTGCAGAGATAAATTGTATTAGCTTCCGATACATAAACGTCGCGTTAAAGCGTCTTTCGGATAGACGAGGCGAATTCAAATATTTCACTGGTTTAGAGCAGAGAGGTTGCTTCCATAAAAAAAGAGGATTTTCTTATTCTTTATATCCTCCCCCGGGCGTGTCTTCTTCCATAGGATATATCTCAGGTCTCGCGCGCACCTTGGATTGACTTCAACGATGTTAATAAATATTGTCTGTACGTTTTAACCGATCTTTCAATTAAGATTATTCTTTAGGAGCTTAAGAAACGTCGTGAAAAATATGTTAATTCAGATAAATAATAAATGCAACTTTCTCTTTTTTTGAGGATGGAATGTAAGATTGCGATAAACGCGAAGAAGAATGCAAGGACGAATTGAAGCAATAATACGATGGGTGTAACTTAAACAAAAATTATATTTGATTGCGTTTAAAAAAGATATTCTGCCGTCTTAGACTAAAATCTCAATCTTGAAAATTGTACATTTGATATACGCGAGATTTTTCAAAATCAATGTGGATATTAAAAATACAAATGTGGAATTAAAATAAAAATTTTAAAACTTCACATGTGCGCGATGTTATAATTTGGAAATAATTTTGAAGCCAGTTATTTAATAATTAAACAAAAATAAATTTATCTTTTTGTTTTATGTTAAAGCACAACAAGCACCGAAAAATACTGTCGCAGTTTTTCGCTTTGAGAAATGAAGCAATCTAAAAATTTATACTCTCACCAAAGAGACTCTCGGGTATACCGCAATGCGGTACAGATTACGACAAACTACCGATAAATTTCGAGGGAGTTAGAAATATGCGAATATTTTCACATATTCATATCATAAACGCATGACATAAATCTCACCTTCCTGAAAAATCTTGTCTACTTATTGAAAAATTATTACAAATAAACGAAGCTTACAATAGACGAAGATTGTGCACAAGTCAAGATAATAGATACGGAGGAACCTTAAATTACTCGAGTATATCATATTTTATTGCTTCAATTCGTCTTGTCGGACTCACCATTCGGTGAGACACAGAGGCGATAAACATGTATAGAAGTATATATTTATTTAATTTGACTTAAACGGAGAGAGAGAGAGAGAGAGAGAGAGAGAGAGAGAGAGAGAGAGAGAGAGAGAGAG